GCCATCATGGTGAAGAGATGTTAGGAATTGAGAGAAATAGCATGCGCATTTTTCGCATTAAATTGTCCTGACCCCACTGGTCGAGAGTGAGTGATTCATTTTCATATTCTTTATACTCTTGTACCCCGGTGAGGATCTAGATTGCTCGGTCTCTGTTCTGATGTCTTGAGTTGGATGCATGAGTTGACTGTTTTGAGTGAGTGGTTGAGTCAAGTCTGGGTTGGTTGGTGAACAGAAGGGAGACTCTCCCGTTTCTCGATTTTGCTGCACTCGAATGTCCTTTGTGGTGGTTGTCCAGGTTGCTATTGTAGTTGTTCATGTGTTGATGTTTGAAAACCAGTATGATTCACGTGTTCTGTGCCTTTATGACTTGTCCCCAATGTTGGTTGATTGAAATATGTGAGCTTACCTTGTGTATTACTTGGTTCGCTTGGGGACAAGCAAACAGTTAAGTGTGGGGGAATTTGATAGCATCGTATTTGCACGTGTTTTCACTCTGGTTTCCTGTCCATTTTGGCTCGAATTGTTCCTTGGCATATTTTACACTAGGTTGTGTTGTTTTGTCGTATTTCAGGTCCTAGCAAGTAAAGAGGAGCATAGGCGCAAGTTTCGGGTCATTTGGAGGTCAGATGGCGATTCACAGAAGGAATTACAGGCAGCCCCTGCCAAATTACGACCGTAATTGGTCAGGGCATGCCCGTAAATCTATTGTCGAGCCTCTTTGCCAAATAATTCTTCTCGGCACAAAAATTACGGGCAAGCTCCAGAGAATTACGACCGTAATTCCTATAATACTGGCGGTAATTGGGGAATTACGGGCGTAGATCATCCTCCTTCAGTTTAATTGAAACGTGCGTTTTGGGGAAAATTACGGGCAGGCCGTAATTACGGCCGTAATTCAGCCCTTAATTCGCCCAGAGTCGGGTTTTTGGAGGCAGATTCGAGCCAAGGAGGAGGTATTCGAGTTTCTAGAGCAAAAAACAGAGTTTTAGAGAGAGAAAGAGCGAAGAACAAACCCTAGGAGCTATTTTGGAGTGGATTTCTCACCATTGAAGCCCAGATTGCGTCCCCAGGAGTGAAGATTGACATCCCAGAGCAGATTTTCCTCATCTTTATGAGTATGACTACTCTGATTTCTGTTTTCCTTTCTCTCTCTATGGAGTAGAACCTTTCTCTCACTTGGGTATGAAGAACCCTAGTTCCTTGTGTTAGGGATTTGATTGTAATGACTTGGGATGATTATACTGTTTGATTTTAATCGAATGATGCATGTTTATTGAATTGATTGAAGTCTGATCAGCTTTTCTTGATTTCTGCTGCAACCTGAGATAGATAGAATCTGATTAGGTTGTTAGAGCCTCTTCATTCGATAGTAGGAGATTGGCTATACGAGAGTTCCCCAGTTTACTGCTTTGTACTGGAATTCAATTCCAGTAGTGGAGTTCTGTGCTTATTGCTTCAGCTTTCTATCCCGGTGAAGACTAGTCGTCTGCCGGGTAGTTAGACTGAGAGGGCTTGGTCAGCTTAAGAGATTCCAAGCTACTGTCGGATCTTCCGCAGTCTAATCAACAGTGAATCAACCCAGGGGAATTGCAATTGAACCTAACTAAGGGGCTAGGGGGACTCATTCTCGAGTGACTCTTTCCTGCTTTTGAAAACCGAACCATTTCCTGCTTTCTTACTGCTTTTGTTTTAAACAACAATCACTCGAATTAGTTTGCTAGATAATAAATCATTACGGAGTAAGCAGTAGATCTAGACCCCGGGTTGATAATAGAACTTGCCTGTTACTGCATTCCCGGACTGCGATTACACTTGGTCGCAGTTTGGTGTTGTGTTTTGGCGTGTCAGAAGGACTTTTTACGTAATGAGTATTAACTTTGCGTTACATAAAGTACTAAATCATTGCGGAAGCCTTACGTAACGCTTTCGATTTAACTGTTACGAAAGAAATAACTATCATACAGTAATAGAAAGGTCTCATTACGTAATGAGTATTAACGTCGTGTTACGTAAAGAGCTAAGTTATTACGGAAGCCTTACGTAACGCTTCTAAATCAATAAGAATTAAAATATGGAAAGTCAACTAAATGTGAAAAAAGGAATGAAAAAAATAAAAAAGGTAACTTGGGATTGTGGTGACCGGCAACCCAAGTTGCCATTTATTTTTTACTTATTTTTTAATTTTTATTTCTTTAATCAATGGTTTAGAATAAGTTTGGTCAATTTTAACGATTTAGATCTATGCAAGTTACCTAACTTGGAATTATACCCAAGTTACTGTAGGAGATCCCAAAATAGTATTGAGGTTAACGCGATAAATTTCCTAGTCCAATGGTCCTCTGCCCGGCGATGCCTATCCAAAACGGAACCCTTTTAGGATAACATCTTCGATAATGGGAATAGTACTTAAGGGTGTGTTATTTATTGCAGGTAGGACTGGTAATCGGTTTATAGGTTACCGATTAACTTGTTAGCCGACGGTATTGGTAGGAGGTAGCGAAACACCAAGAGGAGTCGGTATACCCACTCATATCCGGTTAGTAACCGACGGTTAGTTACCAAAACCTCCCTATGCAAAATGATGGAGGATCTCTCCCTCTCGCCGGTCCTACTTCTCCTCCCTCGCTCATCTCCAAGCGGCCAGCCCCCCTTCACCCACCCGATGCCATCAAGCTCACCGTCCTCCATCTCTTCTGCAGTTCGTATTGTTGGCTGCTGAGCGTCGAATCCTCATAGAACATAGCAGATCACTAAAGGATCACTAAAGGAGCAGACCGAAACAACAACAGCTTCTAGCAATTGCAAAACAGAAAAATGTAAGATTGCAACTTTAATTTATTGGTTATCGAAAACTCACATTTGAACTTTTAACATAAACTTTGATATTTTGAGTGAAGTTATAAGAACATATGTTTTGAGTTTGTAATTTACCAACTTCAATTCCAATGATAGTTATACTGCGGGAGGTTCTTAAGCAGTCTGCAGTCTCGACTAAAGGTCTCCAGACCCTCTCAATCTGAGTCCCCAGCGGACGACTAACCTCCACCGGAGTAAACAGATTGAGGCCCTAACGAACCAAACCTCCACTACCGAAGCAAATTCGGTACAGAATAGTGAATTGACTCCTCGGCTAAAGTTGTCAATTCACTACCTTCAATCAAGGGTGCTCTATCAACCTAGGCAGATATTCTCATTCTAGGTCAAAGCAGAAATAACAGGAATTTGATCAGGATTCATGCCATTCAACAAATCAAACCTCAATTGAACATAATCATATCACTGAATTTGTACTTGGGTTCATACAATCAGACCTAACATACAAATCTAGGGTTTTTCATACCCAGGTGAATAAGAAAGTTACTCTATAGAGAGAGATGGGAAATCTAGCTCAGATGCGGAACCATACTGTGAAGGATGAGAATCAGCTTCTAGCACTCAATCAGCTCTTCTCCAAGCTCAAGCCGGGCTCCAATGGTGATGGAGATCGATCAAGGACACTTGCAGAATCAGGTTCGTCACTTTCTCTCTCTAGATATCGCTTTTTCTCTCTAAAACTCGGAACCCTTCACTTTTGCCCTTCTTTTCCCTTAAGAAGCCGTATGTCGCGATCCTCGGTCTGAATACCCGGTCTGGTATTTTGGGTGGAGACCGGGTATCTTCAAAATGCACCGTCGGGGAACAGGGGTTAATCCCCGGTTTGGGCCAAGAACACCCGACCGGAGATTTATGCTTGATGCCCGGGCCCCCTTCTGTTTCTCAGACGCCCGAAACCAGTTTTCCCCGGTCTGCTCCAAATAATACCCGGCCGGGTATTTCTGCTCATGGCCGGGTATTTTGCTCCTCCAGCACACTTCATCCCAAACGTGCTACTTTCGACCCGAAACTCGTTTGTTCGCCTCGATGCCAACGCTAAGCCCTGAAATATGACATAAACGCACAATCTAGCGTGAAATCAGCTTAAAACACGAGAATCAACATCTCAAACGGCTCAAGAATAGGGGTAAAAACATGTGCAATCAATGGTCTATCACTTAGAGTGTTGGATTATTTGCCCGAAGGGACGATGTGGAATGTGAGAAGTGGTATGCAAACTCGGTTCTGGCGGGATAGATGGCTCCAAGATGGGCCGCCATTGGAGGAGTTTGCGATTTATCTCCCAGCTGCAGTGAGGGAGTTGCGGGTAGCAGAACTTGTTCTGAATGGGGATTGGAATTTGGCTTTCATTCAAGCCTTCCTCCCTGAGGCTTTGATTCTTCAGCTGAGATTACACCCGGTGCTGCACGGAGTAGAACCGGATGTCCCTGTTTGGAGGTTCTCGGATTCGGGGAAGTTCACTGTTCGGTCTGCATACGAGCTACTCAGAGACGGTGAGGAGGAGCAGGAGCACCAGCCTGCGTGGAGGGCCATTTGGAAGCTTCAGGCACCCCAGCGCACGCATACATTCTTATGGTTAGTGCTGCATAAAAAGCTTCTCACTAATGGGGAGCGCTGTAGACGCCATTTGGCCACGTCGGACCTATGTTCGGTTTGTGGCGGCGACCCGGAAATGGTAATCCACGCAATTCGTGACTGTTCCTACGCACGAGCGGTTTGGTCGGAACTGCTGGAGGACGAGCCTGATCAAGTTTTCTTCCATGGAGGACTTAGCGAAATGGATATTGCACTATATATCGGGTAAGAGTTCGACTATTACCCCGATGACCTTCGCAATCATATGTTGGCAGCTATGGAAGAGTCAAAACTTGTGGGTGTTTGAGGAACAGATTGCGTGGTCGGGGCAGCTGGTTCGGGGGGCCAGGCTGTTTAGTGAGCAGTGCAAAGAGGGTTTCGAGAAGGGGAGCATTGCGGTGGAAGGTGGAAGGCAGGTGGTTCAGCGGATGGTCAGCTGGCAGCGCCTCCCTGTAGGCTAGGTTTGCCTAAATACTGAAGGGTCGGTCCTTCTGGCGCAAGGGAAATCGACGGCGGGTGGTGTGCTCCGGGACAGTGATGGGCGCTTTATGGTGGCCTACTCGGTCAATCTAGGAGGTGGATCTATTACGAGTGCTCAATTGGCAGGGATTGCACATGGGCTGCAGATTGCTTGGGGTCGAGGATGTCGGAAGGTAGCGCTGCAAACGGACTCGTCTACAGCCATTTCACTCATCCAGTCCGCGAATACTACGCATCCTCACCATACTCTCGTCGATTTTATCCGCCGACTTTTGGAGCGGGAGTGGGAAGTCTCAGTGAGTCATGTTTTCCGGGAAGCAAACTTTGTGGCAGATCATTTAGCGTCGGTGGGTCACTCTTTGTCTATGGGAGTTCACGTGCTGGACTATCCAGGTCCTGCGTTGCGATACTGGTTGTATTTTGACACTATTGGGGTCCAAACCCGCGTTCCATTAATATTTAAGGGTTAGAGCACCCCCTTTGCGCTCTGTTTTCCACCAAAAAAATTCAACAGTTTGAGTAGGGATGGCAATCAAACCCATGACTGTGGGTACCCGACCGCTCCCGACCCAGTCAACGCGGGGAATCCCCGCTTTGACCGGATATGGGGCGGGTATGGGTAAAACCCTCAAAAAGTTTGATGGGTATAGGGCGGTATGGTTTTGGCCTCCCCCGCCCCATACTCATACCCATACCCGCCCCACCAAGAGAATTTCTTCACATATAAAAAAAATATGTGGATTAAATTGTAATCTATCAATGGTGATGAGGATAACTCGAGGAAATAAATAGTTTTAATGCAATTGAGTGACCACTTTAATCAAAATCTAATTCATTTCCCTCAATTCTACTTTCACTCTTTCACTTTTCCCCTTGTCAACAAGATTATGTTAGTTAACTATTACTTAGTAGATGTATCAGAATTAGAAGATAATATTTGAAAAATATTATACTCTATATTATGTATTAATGGATGTTTTAGGATCATATACTTTGAATCGTATTAAGAAAATGATTGTTTTTTGTTGACTTCATGATATTATAGGTATGTTTATATTTATAATTAAAACTTTTCTTGTAAGTTTTAGATATAGTAATGTTGGATGTACGGGTACGGGTATTACCCATGGGTACCCGAAACCCACGGTTATGGGGATGGGTTTGCAAAACATTCCCCCTCATGGGTATGTGGCGGGTATGGGTTTGGATATTTGAAGATGGGGATGGGGATGGTTTAAACAAACCCTCCACAAACCCGCCCCATTGCCATCCCTAAGTTTGACCCATTAAATTTAGAGTGGGCGTTGCATCTATAAATTAGCATTAGTAATTCACAATCCATGGATACTCTCCCGAATCCGACCTAATTGTGTAAAAAAAAATCTACAATTCAAATAATTTTCTGCCCGTGTGGGTAAAAACCGAATCTGAATATTGTGGGCAATGGGGTGGACATGGTTTTATCTCTATCCAACCCAAACCCGTCTGATTACACATGTAATATGTATATGTATTTTATCCGTAAATGGTTATTATTTTTCTCATCATATTTTATATTTATTTTATATATGGGTCAGATTGATGTACTTTATACTCCAAGTATTTATAGTGAGATATCTTTATCTAGACCATGAATTAAACTGAGTTTGGGTTATGATACAATACCCTAACCTCTAATGGATAAACCCCAGACTCTGATTCTCTAAACTCAAACTCAAAGTTTAATTTTAATATAAAATAATAATTGACCTTGAGATTGGTCGGAGCTCATCGAAGTACATCTAACGGTCAGATCACCTGAGTATACCAGTCATTACCATACTGGTCATTACCAAATATATAATATTTTCATGAAACTGTGCTCTATTTAACTAATTTTCTTCTAATTAGTGGTTTATTGTTGTACTCTTTCACTTATATAATCTCAGTATGTAGTGTGATCGCTAGCATACTTGTGAAGTTATGAAGAAAAATTATTACATATGGATGACCATAGACATAGCAATCTTATCTAGTGTTGGTTTTCCAGATGATTAGTATGGGTAAAATTCAATGTGTTGTTCAAGATCAAATAACAAATATATAATATTTGATTTTCCAGTCATTACCATACCGGTCATTACCAAATATATAATATTTTCATGAAAATGTGCTCTATTTAACTAATTTTCTTCTAATTAGTGGTTTATTGTTGTACTCTTTCATTTATATAATCTCAGTATACAGTGTAATCGCTAGCATACTTGTGAAGTTATGAAGAAAAATTATTACATATGGATGACCATAGACATAGCAATCTTATCTAGTGTTTGCATGATTTTGATTTTCCAGATGATTAGTATGGGTAAAAATCAATGTGTTGTTCAAGATCAAATAACAACACAACTCACTGGAAAAATATCTCATATGGCCCTAGATATTGGAGGTAATGAACCTTATGAGAAATTTGAATACTTTGTTCTTTTGCATTGGGTCTTCATTTGGTATTGTTATTTCACCCCTCCGTAAAATAAGGGATGCTCTTCAGTGGCTGAGCTGGCAAAGCTCCAATTTTCACTCTTGTATATTTTTTTGGTCCCCAATTTTCCCCGGCTCCACTATTATCAGTTGGGCAAAATTTGTTTGTTTCTGTGTTAAATACTTAATGCAGTACAAATCTGTTTAGGATATGGAAATGTGATAATAGGGACCAGGGACAATTTTCACTGTCAGCTTCGCTTTATCTTATAGTGAGATTACTTAACAGTACTAAAATAGTGGGCTTAACTAACCAGCCCAATAAATGACAAAGTGAGGCTCGGATCTTACGTATTTTGCCAAAACTACCCCTCCGCAAAAAAGGTATGCTTCTTGGTGGCTGAGCTGGCAAAGCTCCAATTAGCACTCTTGTATATATATATGTTTTGATTTGATTTTGATTCTCTTAATTTCTTGATTCTGTTTAATCTTACCAATATTTGGGGAAGATGGTGTTCAAATGCGAATTATAGGTTTTACTAGATAATTGGCCCGCACTTCGTAGCGGTAATAATGATGAATTATGTAATTCACACCAAATTTGATTGATTGAACCAAATTTTTTTGTTGGATTCGAACAAATCAAATATGATTCTCTTTAAAATGAAAGGACGAGCATACCAAATCGTAATTGACCTGACCAAATTGGAGTAAATGGTTTTCAATTTGATTATGGTATTTGTATATCGCAAATGTTGGTACAATTGTTGCATATATAAACTCACGTCAAACATGAACCGATACTCTACCTTAATCGAGGATGGGAAACTTTCGTGCTTCTAGTAATTCTTGTACACAAATACTAACCCAACTTAATACATGAACCCATGATAATAATCAGTTCACTATAATTTAGGAAGAAAGTCCAAATACGGTACATTATGTAGCATATGATGCAATGAACAATCATCAAATGTGGTCTAGGGGCAGTAATCATGAACGGGTTAACAACCTAAACAACAATATGCAATGTCTAGCCGAGTTGCAATCAAGTAAATCAGAATCCAATCCTATAAGGGATCATCATCAATATTATTACTCAACTATATGTTCAACAATATATGAGGTTTTCTTTATAGATTTTTTGGATTTGTTGTGCTATTTGGTTTTGTAAATGAACTTTTATACTTGTGGTATGAATAGTTTAAACATCATCTGTACAATATGTATTGGGTATACTTTTGATACATTTGAGTGCAATTATATAAAATATTAAATACTTAGAGATAGGAAGTATTTGAAAATTCACTCCATAAAATAGATTCCCACTGTGTTTTCCACTTAATATTTGGATAGCATGTACCATTTTACCACTATAATTTGTGTAAGAGTAAACCCAACAACATTGTCTTTCGTTAATCCTCGAATTTTCTTTCTAATGGCAATAGTTCCCTTCCCTTCCATTATTCACCAAGACTCGTCATTTCACTCTACACGTGGTGAGAAATGAATAACATGTGGCAACAAATGTCACTTTTTTTTACAGTAAACAAATGTCACTTAATGAGCTCTATTAGCTTCCTTCGTTTCCCCTGACTTTATCACAATCGTTCTCATTGTGATGCATTCTTTTGGTACTCTAATCCAAAATTGCATGCTATTCCTCCATCAGCAATTCAGCATATAGTTCTCTTTTAATCACTTAGCTGCCACCCCTCTATTTCTTTTATTGCAATCGAATTCCATATTATCACCTGGTGGAAAAATACTAAATATCATTTCCGACCACCCTCACTTTCTCAACTGCTACCTCGTTGGCTTTTTGAATCTGGCTAGCATCGAGAATTCTACATGAACTAAAAGAGCGTCGATCTATTGCTAGCAATTTGCCCGGGCGATTGCCCGGAGTGTGTTTCTTCAAATTTTTAGTTTATCAAATAAATCGGTAATCATCTCATATCCCGCTCTATTATAATATTTGTATACTTCTTTCAAAAAAAAAAAAAATTATTCGAAGAGAAAGTAGACATGGGAGTAGGTATTAATCGAAATGGAAATATCGAAACGGAAATGTAAAGAACACAGGTTTACGTGGTTTCCCCGTTCAGGATGAACGAGACTAGTCCACGGCCGAAGCTATTGTATCTCTTATTCAGCTTAACTTCGATAGGTTCCATTACATAGATATATATACAATTCTAGGGTGAAACCCTAGACCAAACTCGGCTGCCCTAAGAAACCCATTTTGCCGAGAGATATGGGTGGGCTAAAGCCCATAACACTCAACAGCCTCCCCCAAATTGATGAGGATCTCTCATCATCAATTTGCGAGAAAGAAAGAAATGACGGTCAGCCGAGAAAGACTTGGTAAGTAGATCAGCAATCTGGTCCTCTGATGTGATATAAAATAACCGGAGAATACCATCACGAACCAAGTCGCGTATGTAATGAAGATGAACCTCAATGTGCTTTGTACGATCATGAAGCACTGGATTAGTAGCAATCTGAATGGCACTTTTGTTGTCAACATGTAGTTGGAGAGGAAGATCACACTCCACTCCTAAATCTCCAAGTAAACGACGAAGCCAAACAAGCTCCGACGCAACATCAGACATAGCACGATACTCCGCCTCAGTGGAAGATTTGGAAACCCGGTCTTGCTTCTTGCACCGCCAAGAAACAAAGGACTCACCCAAGTGAATGCACCACCCCGTAGTGGAACGACGGGTATCAACACACCTTGCATAATCAGAGTCGGAGAAAGCATGCAACACAAGCGAGCCAGACGAGGGAAGAAACATACCAAGCTCTCGTGTGCCCTTCAAGTAATGAAGAATACGATGGACAACAGCCAAGTGATCAGTACGAGGAGCAGACATAAACTGGCTGACTATCTGCACCGCATAAGCAATGTCAGGACGAGTAGATGTGAGATAAATCAAACTCCCAACAATACTCATGTAGTGCTTCCCGCCGTCTGATAATGGCTCCCCAGACTCACGTCCTAGCTTCA